TCTTCAGCCACAATTATCGTAATTCTCGTTTTTGTCTCGCTCATCTGCTGCGCTCTTCCTTTCCTCTCTGCAGCTGCAGTCAGTATTGCGTGCGAACGTGCACCAGGTGCAAGTAGATGAGTGCGTGCACACCGATTGCAAGACATCCGGCGGCTGCTCCACACAGTTAAGCATCGGTGACTCACCCACCTTGATAGACTCGGGTGCTTTATCCCTGGTCTCAGTGAAAGTAACAACCTTGGCTGTGTGTGGCTGCGCTGCCAGAGAGATGACCCATCAACGCTGCTCTACCTACTCCAGTAACCCCTGCCTTAATGGGGGAACCTGCATCGACACGCAGAACGGATACAGGTGAGAGGCATTTCTGCAGTTGTAAAGAACTTAAGATGAAATAGGCTCTTAAAAGATATTTAACAGAAATAAGAGCAGCAGTCTTCTTTCTAGTCCTAGTAGATTTGCTGTTAGAGTGATACCTTGGAAATTGAGCCCAGAATTACTGTGGGTCCCCTGTGAAAAAAATCTTCTTCAGCTGCAACGAAAAGAACTAAAAGTCTTGAGGAGCTCGGCTGTATTATTAGCTAAATCTGCAGTTACATCATTTTTTAAAGGCTCGCCTTTATACGAGGAATCAATGTTTGAGTGTGTGCACGTGATTTTGAGTTTATCTTGCCAGGATGCAAATAATGAGTCTAACCTCGTTATCAAGGTTATAGACCTGCACTTTGAATTTAACCTTATATACGGATAAATGTCTGCAGTCAATATTCAGGACTTCAAGTGTGCAGGTCTCTGTGAGCATATATCACCGAAGAAACAGCATGCACTTTGTTTCATGTACATACTTATGCTTGGATTAAAAAATATATATAGGGCAAGGGGATTAACCCTTCCCCCTCTATGCGCACAACTTCTTAAAATTTCAGTTAGCATGCAAGTTTGTCAACAGCAGCGTGCACACATTTCTTCCCTTGTATCTTTAAATTGTCTCTGCTCCAATTGATCTGTATATTGCTGCAAGGAGCCTTTGTTCTGTAAGAAGAGCATCTCCCTGTATGTGTCATATATTCCTGTGAATGCAGTCCAGCCATAAAGAATCCAATTTCTGCTTCTATTCTCTGTCAAAGGAGCTTAACAGGAAACCTCAGACAGCAGCTGATCAGATATTGTCAGTCAGAAGTAAGAAAAACACGCCACGCGCCTCCTGATTTGGACCTCGTGAAGAAACCGCGGACGAGCGAGGTGCACTGTGCTTTGCGTGTGCATATGTATGCATAAGGCTACACTCTGCCTAAGCCGCCCCTTTTGCTGCATATGGATCAGTATTCCTGACATGTGTTGCCCCTCTGCAGAATAAACAGCAATGGGAGAAACATCCCTTAACAGTCTCGGTACACACAGCTTTCCTCAGACACCGCATGAAAATAGATGGCTTTGACATTATCAGCAAAGCCAGCTTGTCTCACATGCCTGCAGTGGAGAGGACAGGATGAGATCAACTGGTCCCCTCAATCCCCGCCATCAAAAATAAGCTGTTTTTCTTTACTACGTGTATCTTTGTATGGCATTTATGTATGATTATTTATGTTTAACACTGTGGTCTCACAAACAGAGTCAGCAAAATCATAAAACAC